GTGGGGGGGGGGAGGAAGATAAACACGGTTGGAACGCAATGAAGTTGCCAGTGTTCCTCCAACATGGCACGCCTCGCGGTGCTTCGCTCAGCTATCTTCAACGGCGTCCGACGCCAGGAACTGGCTTCGTCCTGGCGCCAACAGACGAAGGCGATGAAGTCCACGACGGCCGCCAGGCCAGAACGAATACTGGAGCCACCGTACCCGGAGAAGATGCAGATTCCAGAGGCCACAATCACAGAGTTTGTGTGGCAGGACGTAGGACAATGGCTGTCGAAACCAGCGGTGGTACGTACGCCCGTGGTACACGGGATAAAGTTGGCACAACGTCTGAGCTACGTTGCCAACAATACGTCGTTAAGGCAACAAAACCAGGTGTGCTGAATATTTAAGTGGGTTGGAGGGGGGGGAAACATGAAATGCGTGCAGAATTTAGACACTTCCAAGACCGACGGAATTTGAAACTGCGTCATGAGGAATGTGTTTGTCACGATGCGATGTAAACACGTGTTTTGGAGGACTCTGATCAAAGGCAGACTCTGTATTATGTCGACGTGTTGAACATCCGGATTCAATTAGCGTAGCAGCTCTAATTAATACATTGACTTTAACAATTACAGGTCCTCACTGTGCTGGACCCTAGGTATCTTTTTCACTGACCAAATAGCCGTCGGAATACTTGACTGGACTGTCCATCAACATTATCTGCTTTTTCGTGAATGAATAACTTTATTAAAACAGGTATTTAGACCATATTCACTGTCCAATCCACTCGCTGGAACTATCGCTTATTGAACTGAATGTTGATGCCATCTAGATTTCAAAATCCGAAGTTTTACTTTTACTGCATACAACACGGCCAAGGGCAGAATAACCGTTCCGATGCACGCCACACATAACCTCGTAATCTCTGATAACAATGGGCTGACGTTAAATGTTGATTACATTACGTGACATAGCCTTGTAAGTAAGTGTTGCTGGAAACAGAATTTATTTCTTAGGCATTGTTAAAAACTTACTACACCACATTCCGACCACACATTGTTAAGACGGCAGGTTGGAACCGCACACCCCCTCCACAAAATTATCTCATACAATTTTATAAAACAGAACACACGACAGAATTTGTATATCTTCGTCACGTTTCTGCCATCGCAGAAACCCGAAGTTCATTCGTTACTCTTGCGGTGTAAGATTGACCTGAGAACGTTTACGTAGCGCCAAGCACTCAAAAAATGAATGCACTTGCCCTCGCAAGCCCCGCACATCCCCTGACCCTTCTTATAGGAGCGACTGTGCCAGAAGTCCCAGTGCGATCACAACGCATGGGTGACCAACACTTACGGCCCTGTCTCGTGTTCAGTGCTTCAGACTTGTTCGTGTCAGGAATGTCGCAGCGTTTTTATTCTTTGCTGCGTTTTGAGGGCGCTGTGCCAAGATGAAGTCCACGTTATATGGCACTTGCCTTATTTAATAACTTTTCGGTCACTGAATCATGTTCACACTGTCAGACGACGAAAAATTTGGAAAGAAGTGTAACAAGAAATCGACGGAATAAAACCACGATACCTCTCAGTTGGATCAGTTTCGAACCCGCGACCTTCGGATTACGCGATTTTCAGTGTGTTTCGTGTTCGGGGAAAGTAATCTTCTTCAAGGTGCCACGATCCCATCGATTCCTCACTGCGTACGATCAGCTGTATCATGAAGACGCACAGAATCTCCCGACATAATGCTGCAAGGTTGGACACCCCTCGCATGTCACCTCTCGCCAGCAGCTGATGCAGGGTCGACCTCGATGCAGCTAGCAGCTTGTCCGTCCGTCCACACGAGATTATCTCGGCTCACCGAACCCCCGAAAACCTGTTTAAACGGCGGTTTGGAAACGAGGCTACAAAATATCACAATGACGAAATTCAGATTCGAGCCTTTCTGCTATGAGACCTGCCATCATCTGCGTCGGTACAACGCCTCGACCCCCCCACTCGAGATGTCGGTAGACGTTGAACCTTTCAACAAAGGAACAGCAAGTATTTTTGCTGTCTCGTTCGAATAATTCAATAATCACGCAGTCTCTTATCTGCAGGAAGCCGGACGCAGCCAACATTACCGTCCAAAGTTCCGAACAAACTTGGGGTCAAAATTAGGTTATCTTGTTTATCAATGGAACACTTCGCTTATCACGACTGCTGAAAGTCAGAGAACTATTTATTATCGTTCACCAATTGCTAGTTTTCTCTGTCTGTTGCAAAGTTGTTAGTAAATTAAGAGCACTGTTTTAGTTCAATATACTGACAAGAGATGGCCGTGTTGATTGTTGTCGTCTGAGTTACGTAGTTACGAACTTGCTGATTCTTCGTACATGGCGTCCGTCCAAACTTCTGAGGTGTATGTCTGACAGTTTGAAACAATGAGAATCTTAGCTATTAGAAAAATATGGACCAAAAGAGCTTAAGAAAGTGTGTGATTCATGTCAAACGCTTTGTATAGATGGAAGTGTTTAAATCATAAGTTTGACTTACATAAAGAATGATTCACGTTGTGTGTTGACAGACACGAATAAGCAACGTAATTATGTCGACTTTAAACCCACTAATAAATCGCTTGTACGAAGTAATGGGTCTTATTACAGTGTAAATCTTTTATAAAAGTCATCCTTAAACAGAATGTTTGCTTTTCTTGGAACATTCCACGGAAATATACGCGGGTTGCAAAAGATAATGTACAAATCCGTTCCCTGCGTTTCAAGTTAGATGCATCATAACACACGGAGCACACGAGACTGTGGAAAGGTCTCAAATACAGTGTGTTCCATTTAAAACGCAACCCTGTTACTACAGGAGAGCCCCCTCGAGCACAAACAAAAATAACGACAGTCATTTTTTATTTTTGTAGCCGATTCGCTGCTGGAAATCGGCATGGCCGAAATTTCAGCTGTTTTGTCGCTAACGACAGCTTGTCGGTGTATCTTACGCATTTGTGAAAGCTTCACGAACAACGGCAAACGATTTCAGTGCTACGAGATATTCGATAATAAACAGACGTTCTGTTCATGAACACACAGCTTTTGCGCAAATGCACGGGCAACAATGGTGACTTTGACTCGATATACGCGGAGGAGGTCGGGAGAGTCTATCTTTTTTTTTTACTATAAAAATTTGTGATTAGTCGTTGTCTTCAATAAATTACGTCATCAACAATGTCAACAGATATTTGTTTACTCGGCATTGTTGTGGACCACAACAATGCCGATTACAACACAACAATGCCGAGTAAACAAATAACGCTTCGCTACCAAGCCAGTCGCATTATCACTGCTCCAGAAGCAGCACGTTGCATTATTAAAAATTGACTGACAGTTGGCCTAAAACATCAGAAAAGCGAAAAAAGAAGTTATCAACTATTTGAAGTACCAAATCCAACAACTGCAACAAGGTAAACTGATACTCATTCGATATATTACGATTAAGAAAGTATTATGAAAACTGGCCTTATGATCGATTTTAAGACGAAGATTTGCAGGGGTGGGGCTGGACGTAAAAAGTTGACTGAACAAGAACTTTTGACCTCTGAACAGCGACGTAAAGAACTACA